TCTGTTCCATGTACCGTTTATTCCTTTATCATTCGTATATGTAGTATCTTTTCCATTACAAACGCGTCGTTGCTCAGCCCGTATCAGATGCTAAACGATCGCTAATCACCGGTGCTTCTCGATAGCCTGGTATGTGTCATGAGGAACAAAGGATTAGTCAAGGGAAGGTATATTGGCAGAATGTGAGACCTCAACCAAAAACACTCTTTTAACGTAGATAAAATTGGCGTCGCATGATACGTTGAAAGAATAAAGTGGAAGCAACGCGCGTCTAAATTAAGTAAAACAAGAACGTTACGTAAAACACTAGTGGCGTAGTAGAGCCACTGCAGCAATATTGTCTTCAGTTTTGAGAGTAGATTGCATGCTCTCCGTGTAAGACCGATCACCACTGGGTCCAATTTCCATTCACACGTGGTGATTCCTCTATGGTCCCTCGAATTTGCCGCTTCAAATCACCGTTGGTTCCATCCTCCACCATGGTCGCAAGAAGCGGAATCTTTAGACAGCTAACGCTATCTACGGTACCCAAATGTAAATTACCTCAACGTTTAAAAATATGGGGGAGAGCAATAAGACTATTGCTCTGAACGAGTAGGGACACGAACAATGCTTGAGTAATGGTTTATAGAGCGAGACCTGCAGGAAAAGGTTTACACGTGCAAAGAGATAGAGTGACTCATTTGGATAAGTGAAAATCCCGCGGCTGAGCGTAAACAGGTAATTGCAACTGGTAAAATAAAAGCTTGTTTTGAGTGGAAGACGACTCGTAGGCAAAAGCTGACAGTACGATGTTACTACAATTCCAGAGCGTTTTTGGCCTCCGTGATAAGGACTTACAGAAGACGAACGGACTGAAGTTTACGCATCATGAGAGAGTGCTCCCGCTTGCATTCCTCTGTCCGTAGTGAGAAATGGTGCTGCCAAACCGGATCAATCTCACGCCTGAGGCAGATCAGTGANCGATACGCAACGGGAATAGACCAGTAGCCTATAGAAGACCTTCAGAGCTGGTTCCACGTAGTCTAACAACAAATCTAGTGGCAGCACCTTGTATAAGCTCTAACTTAGCTAGTTCTCGACGGCCGTGTAGGGTTATTTCGCAGCACTACCATACTCAAGTCTCAGTCTGACGCGGCAAGCGTACAGCGGTCCAAAAGAGTCCAAAGTGAGCGAACCAAAAGATCTCCGAATGAGTACCAGAATTCTTCACGCGTTGGCGTAGACCCTATCGGTGTTCACTCTCGTCTTCGTTGATGATGTAACCATAAGTCACAGGTCCNACGGAGACAATGTGTTTAGGTTTTCTTGTAGAGTACTCCAATCATCAGAACCTTTGAACGAATGCCAGACTTTGATACCATCCGCATACATGACTGATGGGCTGCGCAGTTCACCGGGCAAGTCAAAGACAATTTTTCAATAAATTTTCGTCAATATTTTACAAATTGTTCTATTACACAAAAGATTTTGCAGTCAATAAAAGATCTGTTTGTGGTTAAGTGTAGGCCGCAATTATTCTACCGTGGGATAATTTTCTGCTCCGTCCTTTGTGGCATCGTTGCGGTCCTTAAAGTTACAGTCCGGAATGGGTCTGTTGCGCGATTTAAAATAGCACTTTAGGCCTTGGCAACCACGCCAGTGATATTTTATCGTGAGTACTTGTATCTTAATGGACCTTTTTGGTTCATAGCGTTTTGTTTACTTTGCCTTACAGGTTTACCCCACAGAAGATCTGTCTGTCAGTGTTTCCTCGCCACCCCGTGTCTCGCTCCTTGCCCGCAAAGCCTCGTATCGTCCCAAGCCGAGTGAACAAGAGCAGAAGGACATCTTGCCAGTCGACTCTTTTCACCCTGCTGCACTGCGAGAGCCCGAAGTACGTCCGCATTACAACACATTGTTTTACCTTGAGTGAAACATGAATATCTCTGTGGTTCTTTCTTTTCAAGCATTCTCTAGATTCATAACTACTTACCTTACTTCCCAAGATACAGTTGAAACCGTAAATCATTTGGAAATTATTATCCAAACCTTAAATTTTGTTCTCGGAATATCCGTTACCTGCAAAATCTGGGACGTATTATCCCTTTTTTTAAAGTGCGATGCGTAGTGGATTCTATATATCTATCGTATGCCTTTTACTATTCGCTGTCGTCAAGAGCGACCTCCCGAGTGAATTCATAGTCTTGCTTCGACCACGCAGATTACCTGAGGACATGGAGAATGCTTCATTGATGGGGATCAACAGACTCTGTAGGTAGATCTGGACTGTTTATCCTATAGATTGATTGAGCGCTTCCAATGAGTACTTTCAGCTGCGCTCACATGCGGTTAGGTCGTAGCAACTACCGTCAACGTTTGTAGTGCAAGGCTACCAACTGATAAACGGGGCCAGTGAGAGAGACCTCGGAGTTATGACATGAGCATCTCTAAAATCAAGGGGACGCCGGCAAAGCGTGAGTGTAATGCATGAACGTAGCTCAAGGTCGACAATCAAATTTTTCTACGCATTACAACACCACTCACGTTTGAAATACGGCGGCACTACAGCAGACCCCCTGATGGAGAAACTTAATGAAAGTGCCGAGGGTCGAATGCCTCGGAACCTATGAAATTCTGCTGAGTATCACATTCGTGGTGACCTAATTTTCACCTGTAGGCGATAATGTGGCGAACCATTTTTGGATTTGCAGCAAGATTTTCCACTGAGGAAAAGAAACTATGAGCTAGTACTGGGTAACCCTAAGAAAGCGGAATCCATACACATACCTGCTGGAATTTTTTTGTTCAGTGAGTAATGTTTGAAGCGTTCTCCCAAAAAAGCAAAAAGTGAATGCCGAGTGACTCAACTGTTTCTTGTGGAAAAGCCGACGAGTTTACACTCCGAATTCGGTGAAGAGAGATATTAAACGGTTAGGCTCAAGTTTCCTCTCTGTTCAGAAGTTGATTCGGGTGTGCACCTTACAAAAGCACCCATTTTCCCGTCTGATTATGAATTGTGCATCGATTCTTCAAAACAAACGGAGAAAAAGCAAAAGATGATTATTCGCGTCGAGCGGGTTGTATATTCACGGTGTGTGTACACGATATCGGAGATTATAAAATATCACATGAAACCTGGATATCGGAATAGGACGGTAGCTTTTGTTTAGTTTGCTGGAGAATACCGGAAAGAAGGTGCATTTAAAGCATTCCACTTATTTAGTACCGCACGGTATTCACTCATGGCCAGTTCCCAAGAGGCTCGGTACCAATACGCATGATTTATCAAACTGTGATACTCATACCACGCAGCAACTTGTCTTGGGGTCCACATAACGGAATTTTGCTGATCAGGAACTGATGCGGCAGGTGGTTGTTGCTGCTCATCAGGTTCCTCGTCTTTTAGGGTGTCACCAATAGCAGATATATATTTCGGTGGCTCTTTGAGGGGTAGCGGGAATGCCCGTACACTGGAACATGCATCTTCAGCGGGTGTTGCACTAGTTGTGACTCGGAATGGAATTGGAGGCATGCCTGTGGTACAGTACGCTTCCAACGAGTTCAACAGTCGTTGTTCGAGAGAATCGATTGATATAGGTGTATTGGTTTTCTCCATGCCAAACCTTTCGATATCCTGTGGATTTTAAGTTGAAGAAAGAGAGAGAGAGAGAGAGAGAAGTGCTCAGGTATTTGATAAAGGATATGGAGAAGCTAGCTTCTACGCGGTGGATGTCTTAACTAAGGCAAATCAACGTACTGACTATTAATAAAACCAGAGAACAACAATAAATTGATCAACGTTAGTCAGATCTGGCTTTGGAAAGGTGAAATTCGATCGTATACAAGGTATTCAAAATTTTGTATTATTGTCCACCTGGTTCATAGCAGAGATTAAGAATGATGGATGAGTCAACGCAAAATTATAATATTCCCTTAAAACCACCGATAAATGACCTTATTTGACGCTTGAGATTACCCAAAAGTAGAAAGGGTTAGAGGGCAAACGTGTAGTAACAACCCATGCACATCTGTAAACTGCCCCAATTTCGCAGGAAAAGGTTTCAACATACATGAAGGTGGAAAACACACTTAAAGCAACATCAGAATATTCACGATCCTACTTGAATATATACTAAAAGAGGTGAAGAAGACAGGGCCAAATACCTCGAGCAACCAACACCTGCCACACACAGAGGCTACTGTAAAGAACGGGAAAACCACTGATGGCGATAGCTCTCAAAAGCATTACATTGTCCGTCCATAGCCCCTGAATGGCTTATTCTCACTAAAGGCTCCACAGAGTTTTCTACTTACGATAAGTGTTTATTTTTTGTGAAAACACAGCATGCGGAATGCTGCGATGCATATGGGATGAGCATTGCCATGGGATTATTTTAAATACTACACGATAATGACTCTGGCATATCGAATTATTGATTGTCACATAAACCACCATTTGTGATTCATGATATAGTGTAGGGAGATGCGTGTTACTGGTATAGATTTGGGAATGATGAATGCCGTTGACTGAGGATTCAGATAATCCAGGCCAGAAGGCTACTTGTAACTGTTGATCAGAAACTAGTACAACAAGTTATGGTTCAAATGGATGGAAGTGAAACTGCACGATTGGTGGTCGTTTCTGTTAGCACATTACATCCGCTTGATGCCAGTTTGTAGCTCTCAACTTAAAAAAACCTCAGGTAGAAATAATGACAAGACCACTCACCTTCATCGCTTTGTCGATATAGGTATCCATTTCCTGAGATAGCTGAGACCATGTGAGAGCTGTTTCGTCCGATCCAGCCGGAACGGTTGTGTTCGATTTGGACGGAAGTGATGCTACGTGCTTAATCGTCTGATGGTGTTCGCTATGGTGAAACGGATCAGTTGGTGCAAGCGAAGTCGTCAAGCCTGAGTTCAATTCCTGTTGCACTGTTGAGCGAGGAGGAGGCCCACGACGCGGATCACGTTGCTTCGATTTGCAATTGACCACAGTAACTAGGCTATTCAAATCCACTGGACAATCTGGGGCAGCTAAGTCAGCTGGTGTAGGTTCTGTTAACGGTTAACAGGAAGGAAAAATGGTTCAAGAGGATAGACGTAACAAAAGGCATGGGGAAAGTATTTGGGTATTGAGAAACTGAAGGAATCAAAGTGCACTGTCAAGGTACCATGTGCGCAAAGAGAAACGCAGCTTTAGTGGAAAGCATCACCATTGCCGCCCGGGACAAAACATTTCATCCTGGGGCAGAAAGTGGTTCACTATGTCTTTCGGTTAAGATCACCGGTTCCTCAAAAACAATCCATTATACCGTTTCACACGCGCTCTCATATTGCTTTTGCGGCCCTAATTGCAAAACGGATACTGCGCATCACTAACTTGGATCCTACTCCCTACCTTCTACTGTTCCTTCCCGAGACTTGTTTCTCTATCTACTTGAAGCGTTTTTTCACGTCTCCTGAACCTTCATGATACACTTTGATCATCCTCTCTACCCAAAGCTTTTGTATATGTGTTTGTTTATCCTTCAGCAAAAATCACAAATAGCAAATTTCATCACTTATGATGGAAGCTGTGTATCATTTCTTCAAACCAATATTCTTGCATTCGGTCTCGTTCGTCAAACAGTTTTGATTTTTCTGTGTTTGATCTTTTTACATGGCACATTGAAGGCATTTTACAAACGGCCCCCAACGCCCATGTCACCATCGTGGGTGATTTGAACGTTCGCAACAGTGCATGGTTAGCAAACTCCGTGACACAACCACAACCATAGACCGACAGGCGAAAGCGCTTGCCTACCACAACTGGTTGCTCCCTCCTCCAACCGTGTAGCAAATCGTACAGATAGGTGTACATACACTGTTGATGATTTAGTAACTTCGACTTTCTGTCCGTCCTGATTTTATATTCTTATTCCTTTATTTGCTCATCGAATCATTGTGTTATCATATCGAATGTTTGCACTGTTCACATCGTCCCAACATTTCTTTCCGGCCGCACTTCCTGGTGTCACATATCTGCTGCTGAGTGTGGATCGTGCGATTTCTTGGAATCATATCTCTGGAGCTATTGTGTTCCACCTCTCGATTGATCCACTTCTGCCGGGAAGACTATTTTACAAGGCATGCATATGTCTACTTCTAAATATTCTCAACCCGGGAAACAATTCTTCCCGGAATGGATTACTAGCCCTAACGTGAAGACTCGGTTATATGGATCCCGTTGGGCTTCCTGGATGGGGACCTCGGGATGGTCGTAAACGATGGTTAGAGACACTGATTGATATGGCTGAGTGTCGTAAACAATGACGTTCATGCATCTAAATTTCCTTGCAACCTTAGACCACTAAAATTCTCCATTTTCTCTTCTACTTTATTTCCAACTTTCCTGTCTTTCTCCTACTGTTCACACAAATGGGCAGCCAAAATAAAACAACCAAAACCGGTGCAGGAGAGTGCATAGTTAATGGCTGTACAAGTTCTGAAAACCTTTGTATACCGTAATTATCATGAATTTTATTCTGCGGAGCTTGCCAATTTGGTCTCGTCCATGCATACTACCCCAAGCGTTAAATCCTGTCCAACAACAGACTCTAAGATTCTATCAGATGGCGGCATTTAGATATTTTGTCCAAGAACCACACACATACACGCGCGCTAGAAACATTGTCATTCATCATTCTTGTGTTTTCGATCCTACTTATTGGGCACCTTGAACGTTTGACCCCGTCCAAAATAAGTATGACCCGGTGAACTGGACACTGGCCCCCAATGGAATGCGGTTTTCACACACCGCCTTGTTGCCTTGCGGGTCAGGCTTTGGCTAGCCGAAGACTATGGTTGTAAATTCCCTAAGAACATTCACCTGCTTTATCCTGGACAATGTGACAATATTGCGCTCTCAAGCAAATCAGTGTCCCTATTTCTTTTCACAAAGATATTTGTACCGCGATTTGTTTCGCACAGTCTGAACTCGGACTTGCGTGAAAAAAATAAAATAAAATAAACAGTGCATGGGCATGCCCATAAATAACTGAAAACCAGCTTGTTTGTCACGTAGGGCTGATTTGACTCGAAGTTTTGTCAGGTAAATAAAGGTCTCTTGGCTAACAAAACATGAACTAATCGACTATGAAAGATCGAGCAATCGAACTTACCTGGTAGTTTACGAATTTTCGTTGGACAACGAGATTGCAACCGTCGAAGTAGGTTCATTTCATCACCGACGTCAGTTACAATCAGGACTGAGGCACCATAACTTCCTGAAACCCCATTAATATGTGAAATATTGAGAGGACAATGGTTCATGAGAAAATTAACTGTGATTATATTGCGCTTGCGCGCGATTTCAGACTGTCGGAACCTAATACAAAAACCGATGACTTAGTCTGGTGTCAGGAACAGGAAAGGAAAAAACATGAGAACAATGCGGCAAAGTGGCAAATTTTATCTATTTACCGAGAATAAGCACTTGATTCACCGACCCAGCGAAGAAAGTAGCGATCAATACCATTTAGGAACGATGAATACACTTATACTGAAAAGTGGCATGACCTGTAGAAACAGAAGATAAAATCGTTTCCTGATATACTCTCATAGTAGCATCTAAAACATCGCTTACAGAATGCTACCCCCCCCCTCCGCCGTCGCCCCTCCCTCCCGTTCGATCCAAATAGTTACCACCGGTTTGCGAGCAAGCTTGGTGCCAACGCATCAACAAGAATAACAGAACACGGGGGTTGGGGT